CATCCATCCATCATCCATCCATCATCCATCCCCTCACAATGTGGAGGATGAATTGTACATTTTGGTTTTCCTTCTTTCATTTGAATTTTCAACTGTCAAACTAAGTTTCTCTGCTCATTTCCTTTTTTCTTATCTTTAAGTCATGATGGTTTCTTCTCTCTGATTTTAAATATTTCAGATTTCTGCTTCTTGTCCTCCCTCCCTCCCTCCACCCCTCCCTCCCTCCCTCCCTCCATCCTTCACAGTTTGGTGTTGAATTTCACTCGTCTCTTCGCTGTCACATTATCTCATGTCAAATTAATCATCCTCTTTTTCCAGTTTCTCGTTTATTCTTACTTCTGTCTCTCTGTCTTTTTCATCATCTCTCCATCATCCGTTCTTTTTCTCCACCTCTGTTTTCTCAGTCCTCACTTTCTGTCTGATTGTTGTCTTTTACTCTTTCTCACTGTGAAAGTCAAATAGTAAAGTCTGTTGTAGAATGTTGCCTCTCATCCATCCTCACCGACATAGATGACCCCCTCCTTGGTCTTGGTGGCGGCCTCCTCCACGCCGGCCTTCGTCTTCTCGGCAGCAGCCACCACTCCATCCTTCGCTATGGACAAGCCCTTCTTCAGAACGTCCATGATGCTTTGCTGTTCCTCACCTCTTCTTCTCGTTTCTCTCTTCCGTCCGTTCTCCTTGTGCTCCGCTGACTCTGTCGCTTCGTCTCTTCTCGTCTTCCTGCTAATGGATGAGAGAGAGAAGGGGTGGAGAGAGGGCACGTGAGAGAGAGAGAGAGCTCTTACGAGAAAGGGAGGAACCGAGGAATAGAGTGAGATTGTGCACTAGAGCAAACAAAAGAGAGAGAGAGAAATAAATGGATGAGAGAGACAGATGAAGAACAGAGGAGGAGGAAAAATTCAGAGTGAAAACAAAAGCTTCTCTTCATCTGGGTTCTTGAACTCACGTCTTCCAGGAAATAACCACGGCACACACATTCAACTAGGGCGTGGACAGTGCGTGATTGACAGCTAGTGTCGTCCAAGTGGTGAAGGAGTCAGTGGACGTGTCCTCGAGCCTCAGTCAGGCTCCCCCTCGTCCAAACATGGTGACTTCTGGTTTCAACAAACCAAGAGGACTCACCTGATAAATGCAGATGGAGGTGTTCCCTCAGGTGTGTGTTGTTGACGACGGTGCAGCTTCTCCACAGTGATGAAACCATCGGTGTTGGGGGCGTGGCTGAGGGTGGAGACATCGTAGAGTTACAGAGGTCGTGATAAATTAAAAGAGTTTCTACGAAGTATTTCTGAACATGGGACCTGATGTCGCTCCCGTCAGCTTGATATCGATTATCTCAAATATACATCTTCCTCTGTTTCTCACTGATT